CCTATTAGGTCTTCCTATTTTTATACTCAAAGTTATTCACTTTAGAAAAAGACAAATAGAATATACTTCTTGCAGTAGAAGAAAATAAGCTGAAAATTATTAGACCTTTCTATCAGAAACACAATATTCCCCATTTTCAAATAAGAATATTACATCTGCAGGGCAGTTTTTCTTTTCATGTGAAAGTGAAAGTGTAAGTCGCTCAGTCACGTCCAACTCTGTGACCCCATGGACTATAGCCTGCCAGGCTCCTCTATCCATGGAATTCTCCAGGTAAGAATACTGGAGTGGGTTACCATGCCCTCTTCCAGGGGACCTTCCCAACCCAGGGATGGAACCCAGGTCTCCTGCACTGCATGCAGATTTTTTACTATCTGAGCCACCAGGGAAACCCCCTCTTTTCATATTAATATTCTACTTATAGTCTATCTATGATGAATAACTTTATTTATTAATAACTATTCTATACATACACACACCCAAACTGGTTAAAAAATGAGCATTTCCTACTACATAATTTAAATATGGGCGACTCTGCTTTGTCCAAGTTACATGTAAATATTTAATCCTTTGATTAACAAACTTAGGAATAAGCTGATACAAAATGTACACTTGAAAACAGCCACCTTATATTGAAAAATCCTCTTCCTTATTGTTATTTTTTTTTTTACTTTTGCTATTTCAGTGCTTTACATTACTATCAATTACCTCATTCCTTTCTCTCCCTTTTGTCTTTATCTTGCTTTTGTAATTTTTAGTAAGGAGTACATTGGAAAAAAAGAAAAGTAGGCAATGGATTTAGAAAACGTCTTCCTGATTACTGAAGTCAAGAACTCTTGGCTGCCACTGCTCTACAGAGCTGGTCCTGGGATTCTAGAAAGGTTAATGGGGAGGAGGAAGAGGGGAATTAGATGGGAAGCGGAAAGATCTTGACTGTACTCAACTAGTGGAAGTCCCGGATAGGATGGAGTAAGTTCTCCATTTTCCATTTTTTGAGACAGTGTACCCTTGCTGATCGATGCTTCATATCAGAAAATGTTTCTCATTATTTGGCAAACTTTCCATTGAGCAGACAGACCATCCTCACTGGTCCTGAAGGCAGAAAACCAGGAATGAACTGACTGTCGGCTGATTTTTTAGAGCTACTCGTACCACTGGAGGGGTGCAAACTGATGAAGATGTTGGAGAGTTAGGAGAATCTTGTAGACTGTGGTAATGCTGCAAAGCTGCAGAATTCTGGCCAATCAACCCTGACATTATCAAGTCCTGACTTGGGAATGCGCTGTGTGTAATGAAGGAATTGGTTGGACATTTTCCCTTCCTATTCTCACCTACTAGAGGCAGCTCCAACCCTCGTTTTGAAATCATAACCACTTCTAGGAGACAAGTTGACTTGGGGCACCTGCAGGTCACCTGGAAATCTGTCTTGACATTTCTTTTTCACAAACTTGGTTCTTTCTAACATCTTAATGAGACTGGCACTAAAGACCTGCATAATGTGTTCCTCCTGTTTAAATCCTTTGATTTGTGAGTGTGTGTTCATTGGTGTAAAAACATATATAACAAAATTTAGCGTCTTAACCATTTCTAATGCAGCTGAGTTGTATTGAGTAAATTCATATTGTTACATAATTATCACCATGATCTATCCTCAGAATTCTTCATCTTGCAAAATGAAACTCTGTACCCATTAACAGTAACTCCGCATCCAAACCCGCCCTCCACCAGCCCCTACAACCACAATTCTACTTTCTGTCTCTGATGATTTGGACTATTCTAAGCATCCCACCACACAAAAGGAATCATATAGCCTTTGTTTTTCACCCTCCTCATTTTTTTACCCCTACCTTTTCCAACTCAATTTAACCCACTTTAAATGTGATCTCTCTCATGGAAAAGGTCATTCTTTTTGACCCTTGTCCTTACCTTTTCCCTCTGGGAAAAAATTTCAAACTTTGTCCTGCCTCCCTCTTCCCTTCTTCATTCCATTTATAAGCCTCTCATTAAAAGAAAAGAAAGTTATTGGAATAATAATTTTCTGAATCTCTCACATTAGATATGAGTTTCAAAATATAATTAACCATAATGACAGAACTATAGATGCCAACATCTAAAATCTCTGAAATGGCCCAAAGTTCTTTACAAAATCTCCATGATGTTTTACTTTAACTCTACTCATCTTAATTAAAATGATTTCCCCTCAACAACAAATGCCTTTTAACTCATTTGTATCGCTTTTTTTCCTGGAGGCTGATGCTCAGTATTCTAATAATTGTGTTTTTCTCTCTATTCCATGGGAAGTGTGTAGATTTCAACTGTGTTGTAGGTTAAAGAGGTTTTTGAGGACTAAAGTCTGGAACCAAATCACAATGTTTAATACTGCTTCTCCAGAAAGCATTCTGAGTTCCACACAGCTCCTGAGAAAATGAACTCTGGAACACGAGCCGTTTATAACCTGGAGACTGAGTATGTTACACACTGCCCATAGATTTTCATTAGTGACACAGAGCTGAAAGTTGTTGGCCTGCTCAATGCCATAGGACACATAATGAACAATAAGACAAGCAGACAAACGTGGCATAGCAGCCAAGCATATTGTTCAGACCCCCTGCTGGAGTATGAGGCCAATAGAGCTCAAGACCCAGCTACTCAATATGCTGAACCTATAGGTTCTCTAAACACTCCATGATTTTGAACAGCCATGTATGGTTTTTTAAGATGTATTATATTCCACTGCATGTTGAGGAACCATATGTTTCACTACAGCACATACAGATTTTGAAAACCCCATGGGAGGAAGCACTGAAGTTGAAAAAGATTTCCAAGAGAGCAAGGTAGAGATACAGAAATTAGCTTGGAGCTGAAGCCAACCTGCTAATTATATTATTCAGCAGAAACTACTTGCAGATGGATATCAGAAACCATTAAAGAGGTGCAAAACAGAAAGTTAAAAGAAACTCCCAACTCTTGCATAAAACTCAATTCAATGATCACTCATTAGCTGATGATCCAACAAGTCCCAGAGATAGGAATGCTGATCTCAGAGCTCTGATATGAACAGGAAAAGTGCAAATAGCAATGGAGATCAACTTACTTATTATCAGGGCAACAGACACCTTAACTAATGGTCTCCTTTTTTCTCCCCAAAGGTCTGTGTAAGACTGGAGGCAGCCTGCCTGGAAACTAAAACACAACATTTCGGGAGCCTGGAAATCTGTCCTTTTGCAATTAATAGAGAAGAAACAAAGTGGCTTTTATTGACTTTGTTTATTTGCAGCCAAACCATTTGTCACATGGACCATTAACTCTACTTTCAAATGCTTTGAACTCTTAGAGTCACTTCCACATTATTTGGCATTTAACTCTCTGCAGTCTTTTCTTTGAATAGTTGCTGCATGCAAATCTGGCTGCCTCACTAGGATCATAAAAATTTAAAGGCAAGAAAACTGACTTGTATGTTATTAGGATCTCCCATAAGGCCTACACACTGCTTGGCACAGAGGGGTATCTGATACAAAAGCACGATTAACACACAGGATAAGTTCCTCACATAGAGTCACAAGCACTGAAGCTCTGCCAACTCTATATGTCAGTTTCGACTCGAATTCCCAGGAAGATCACTGATGGAGAATGCAAGCTTGGCAGTCACCAGGAGCCACATCAGAATAGAGAAGTCTTGAATCCTGTGGATAGGGGAAACCCTTACTACCTAGAGACTACAAGTTCCATGGGTGAAAAAGTGAAAGTGACAGTCACTCAGTTGTATCCGACTCTTTGCAACCCCATGGACTATACAGTCCATGGAATTCTCCAGGCCAGAATACTGGAGTGGGTAGCCTTTCTTTTATCCAGGGGATCTTCTCAACAATTTCCATGGGGGTAAGGGCTATGTTTTGTCCCCAAACCAGCACCCAGGGGCTCAAAAAACATATGCTGAATGAATGAAACATGTGAATCTAAGTTTCTCCTCTTTAGTCTCTGGGATTAGTGGTCCCCATCTTGTGTTTTTCTTCATTCATGATTTATAACCAATCCACAAAAGTTAAGGTGACACTAGAAAACAAATCAGCATGGCACCCACATGGTACACAGACAGGTGTGGACCTCCTCTAGGGTCTTCCCAAGAGGTGTTGGAGGGGGCGGGGTACGGGAGGTTGAGGGTCAAGGAGGAAGACCACTGCTGTGATAATCGTAGGTCTGGGGCTTACTGTGGAGGGATGAGAGGGGCTCTCCCTGAGAGAAGTGGCAGGATGTCAGAGAGAATTCTTGGCAGCCCCTGAGCAGTGGAACGCTGCTCTGCGTGGTCCCCGTCTGGTTGGCAGCTTCCTGCCAGGGAAGGATGCCAAGTGGGTGGTGACAGCTGTGCAGTGCACAAATCTCCATTGGTGCACAGCCATTTCTGACCTGCCTGTCTGCCACTTGTGGGAAGTAGCTGGGAAGTTCTGATGCAGAGACCCCATTCTCCATTAGTTTTAATTTCTTAGCAGTATTTCTGACTATCCTGTCTTTTAAGATGGGGGTCGTTGGAAGATGGCATTTAGCTTCTCTGGTCAACATGAACCTATTAATTCTGTGTAGACAAGAGAACTCTATTCCACTCTGTTTTGAGTGAAACAGTTGGTTTTCACTGTGACCACATGACTACACTTTTTTATGAGCTTTTTTACTTTTATTTTTTTTACAGTAATTGACAACTGTCATAGACCACCACTAGGAGAAATCATCTATTAGTATAACTTAAAAAAATTAAACACAGCCTTTTAGTCATTTACTTCTCTTGAAAAAGAAATTTCAAAATCTTAATGTTCATTATTCAGAATGCTTACACCTTAAGGGATTTTGGTAAAGGACTATCATTTTATATTCTTTTAAAGCAGCTACCTTTTCTGAAAGTTGTTGATAAGTGGACTCAATTTTCCATGAGGAGATGCATAAATGTTAACTCAGATTCTTTTCTGCATTCGCTGGTGAAGAGTTAAAAGTGAAATTTCAGACAGTACCTTTCAGCATCATTCGTCCCGTGGATCCTCCAAAAGAACTGAGGAGGCTGCTTCTTGCTCCTAAAGATGTGGTGGCTTCCAGGAGAGAGCCGGTGATGTACTGAGATATGGAAGTCCTTTGCAGGGTGGCACGATACTCACACACCGTGTCTCGGACACATTGCTTTAAGTACGGACTGACAGTGATCCTTTCATGGGCTGTCTCGGAGGCTGGGAGCTTGGCGAAGAAATGGAGAAGAGATCTAATTGTTTCTTCTGTGGCTTCTCCCCTTCTCACTGCACTGTAGATCTGTGAATAGCACAAAGTACAGGAAGTATTAATCTAGTTTCTTAGAAAAGCAAATTAACTTGTTGACAAAATGCCAAGATGACTTATTAAGAAAGAAGTCTCAGTCGCTCTAAGCACAAACACTTGTGAACACTGGGCTCATACATTAACCTGAACATTCTACAGACACCATTTATTTGGGAAAGCTATGTGCAGTTATGAAATAGGTCCTTCAAACAGCCCTGCTATCAAACAGAGCACTTACGACTTGTACCAACCAAAAATATATTCAGCTCAAATTTCTCCTCCTTCTCTTTATCAGAGCAAAGCTCGTCTATAGCGGGACAAGGGCATACCTTTCCTATTTGTCGCTCTGGACTCTCTTGAGTGACTCCCCCAGACCTGTCTATCTTCAAGGAACCCTTCAGACTGACATTCATGAGGAATCCTCCTTTCTTGCTCAGAATGAAATAAGGGTGAGTGGGTTAAGGGGCAGGAGAACTTCTATATTCCCTTTTTGGTTATAAGCTTTCAATCCATCAGCTTAGATCAAAGCCTTTGAATCCTTTTCCCCCCCTCTTCCTCCCTCACCCCCACATCCAATGAGATGACAGATCCTGCCCACTTCTCCTTCCTTCCTTTCTTCCTTCTGCTTCTGCCACTATCCTGATTTCCTCTTTCCTTCATCACCTGAATTCACCAAGAATTATCTCAAAGAGATTGGATTATTACATTTTCCCAGCCATAATTACAATCCATTTCAGTGCAATTGTTCAACATGTGTTTATGTAGATCTTCTCTGTGCAAGGCACTGCATTGAAAGATGTGAGGTGTTTACGAAGATTAACAGACACCTCTTGTGCTGTAGGACTTCACAATCTAATTTAGAAAATGAGACCTGAAAGTTATGAGGTTTGACATTATATCCGGGAGGTATGGGGTTTTGTCAAGGTCTCTGGGAAGCCAGAGCCTTCTTGGCAATGTATAAATGCCAGAGAAGAAAGATAATACAGGATGAGTTAATCTAGTTTTCTGACAGTGGAATAAATGTTTACTATATTGTGTTGTCTGCATCATGCTACCTTGAGCACCATGCCTTGGTTGACAGCTGATGCATCAAATTAAAAATTTGTTCTTCTGTGTTTATATACCAGTTATGTGTTAGGCCTTGGTAAATACAACACTTTCTCCTCTCCAAGAGTTCACAGTCTAACAAGGAGGGTGAACAGATAAAAAGTTCAGGGTAGGGTGGAGGTGACAGCGATGAGTGGCGAGGGAAGGGAAGAACCTCGCATGCCCTTCAGACTCTGCACGCAACCTTGGGAAGCTGCACACTCCAAAACTCACCTTAACTAGCATGCCAGGGTACTCAAAAGGACCCCTATTGAACTAGTCTGTGATGACACCCTGACTAGATTTCTACTCTGCCTTCCTCTGCTTTCTGGTATATACTTTCCATTTGAAGACAGAGTGTGGAATCTTCAACTTTAATTCTGTCATTAAATTTCTGGTGGCCACAGAGATGGTGTGCTGGGACAGAAGGAGCCCAGGCTTTGGGATCAGGTTTGTGGGGTTGCACACCCAGCTCTGCCTTGACCAGCCAGAGAGGATACTAATGCCCATTCTTAGAGATGTTCTGGGATTCCCCCCTGATGATACATACAAAGTGCTCGGTCTGGGATCTAGAAATGGTGCCCATTGGCACTGAGCAAGAAGAGAATGGACCCTGCTCTAAACAGTCATCAGGTGATTGTATAACAACAGAGCACAGAACACAGTCTATGAAATTCACTGTGATGGAGTTATACCCTTGCTCTTACGTGCTGGATAATGTCATCATAACCTTATTTGGGTGTATTGTGAGGACAAACAGGGGCAGAGAGCTGCAGAGCTCAGAACATGCTTTTCTTCTCCCAGCTCCAAATCATACGGGCAGTCTCCAACACACTAAGTCTCAAAAGAGTCCTTCAGAAGTAAACAATTCGGATGTTCAGAGAAGAGAACCCACTGTGAGACTGGATAGCTAAAGATAAAGAAAGCAGCATGGCTCTAACTGGGGCAGCTGAGGGAGGCAAGTCACATGGCAAGTAAGGGTGAAGGGGCTAGAAAACAGTGTGTCCTGGGGACAGTCAGTAGAGCAGGTGTTAAGAGCAGAGAGTGTAGGGAAATCACTGGGGAAATCAAAAGGTCAGTTGGCCTGACAAAGGAAAGCCTTGAAAGTCAAGAAAAGAGGTTTAATCTATCAGAGATGGGTAGCCCTTCACTTTTTTTAGTCTATTTGTTTGTTTTCAGCAGAGGAATGCCGCAAGAAAGGCCCAGTGGTTCAGTGGTAAAGAATCTGCCTGCAGTGCAGACGCAGGTTCAATCCCTGGGTTGAGAAGCTCCCCTGGAGGAGAGCCTGGCAACCCATTCCAGTATTCTTGTCAGGGACATCCCATGGACAGAGGAGCCTGGCAGGCTACAGTCCATGAGGTCGCAAAGAGCCAGAAATGACTGAGTATGCATGCATACACTTGGATATATTAAGTAATTATTCAGCCTTGCTACCAGCTGTTTCCAAGCCCTCCAACTTGTCTGAAGAAAGAAGAAATGAAGAGTTCTAAAAATACATCCCTGAGCTGCTGTCACTACTGCTAACACCCCATCCACAAAGGATCGGAAAGATACCTACAGGTCCTACCATGATCTGGACTAACACATGTCATTCATACCAATACTTGATAAGCTGAATTCAAAGATATGGAAGTGCTAAGGGTACATGTTAAAATATAGGCAATAACCCCTTACTAGATCATCCATTAAAAAAAAAAAGCAACTACTGAAAATTCTACCTATAATAGAATGGGAGAAGGAGGCAGTATAAAACAGTAATTATGAGCGTTGCTCTGAAGTATTGGTTTGAGTCTGAGCTTCTCTGCTTCCCAGCTGTATGACTTTGTCTAAGCTGCTTTGCCATTCTGTGTCTCAGGCTCCCTTTCTCCAATATAGAGATATAATACATATTATCTGTCCTATAAAGTTGTAGTAAGAATTACAAGCTTTGATAAAGACAGTACTAGGACTGGAACAGCTGCTTAATAAACGTTCAATAAATATTGGCTTTTATGATGATGGTGACAAGGCTGATTGCAATAGACTACAAAAATGACCATACATTATTCCTCCACAGATTTCAGGCCAGTCTTGGGATTTGCTTAATCAGTGGGAATTCAGTAAATGTATTGCCAGTGAAGTCTTCAGTGTTGGAGCTTGCTTTCTCTTGCCACTTTTGGGAATTCTGAAACAACTACCAAGTGAAGGAGCCAGAACTAGCTTATTGGAGGATGACAGACCACAGCTGAGTCATTCCTGTCACCTTTGCCAATAGCCTGCCAATAGGCAGATTCCTTGGTGGCTCAGATGGTAAAGAGTCTGCCTGCAATGTGGGAGACCTGGGTTCAATCCCTGGGTTGGGAAGATCCCCTGGAGAAGGAAATGGCAACCCACTCCAGTATTTGTGCCTGGAAAATCCCATGGATGGAGGAGCCTGGCAGGCTACAGTCCATGGGGTCGCAAAGAGTCAGACACAACTGAACAACTTCACTTTCTTTCACTTTGCCAACAGGCAGACACATAGTGAATCCCTCCTAGATCATCCAATGGCTAGTCCACCTGCCATCACAGACACATGAGACAGCCCAGCAAAGATCAGCTCATCCAGACTAGGAGAACCATCCAGACAATTTACAGGTACACGAGCTACATAAATGACTGCTGTATAAACCAAGAAGCATTCGGAATGCTTTGGCACGTGGCAAAAGTCAACTTACACAATGATGATGTGGTAGATGCAATGATAAGTATTTCCTTGCATGATATCTGAATCCACACACTAGCCCTACGAGGTTGATTCATTTTGCAGATGGGGACAGTGAGCCTAGAGAGACAGAGTGAGACAGTCAACTTTACACAACTAGTAAGAGACTGAGCCAAGACTGAAATTGGGTTTGTCCAGCTCTGTGGTTCCCTTTTATCCATTGCACTAAACATGGTAACACCCAAAACCCAAACAACGGGATTCAAGAAAATGTTGTTATTTGGCAAGAGTGTTAAGTGATGTTAACATTGCAGTTGTTATAGTTTTTATTCATGATAATTCCTTTCATGGTCACCCTAAAGTACTTTGGAAAACAGTCAAGTTATGACTAATGAATGAGCAAATATGTTTCCTTTTTATGGAGATTTGTAGTTTGAATTACAAGGTGAAAAAATATATAAACTTTATCTCACTTGATTAATGTGGTAATAGAAGGTGCTGAAAATTAGACTACTGCCTTATATGGGTCAATATCTTTTTTGATATAAAATCAGCACCTTACAACAGGGCATCCAATCTTGGTAAAAAGTTATGTGTCTATCCATTCATCCAATGATTGATTTTTATTTATTGAAAACATACAAAATAGAACTTTGCAAACATGTAAAAAGAACTTTTACTGGAGGAAGGCAGACAGTAAACAAGTAAATCAAATAAGTTAGCTAGCAATTGCAGGCTATTATAAATAGTCAAGATACATTTCAGATATGGACTCTACAGGACTTGCTAAAGTCACTGGGAATGAAGGAAGGAAAGGAGTCAAGATTTTTATAGTTGGCCATTGTGGAGTTCTTAGAACTTTTAAGATCTATATATATTTTTTAGATTCCATGTAGAAATGATAACATATTTGTCTTTGAGATAAATATAAAGCATTTGTCTTTATATATACATTTGCATAACATAAACATAAATTAATATAAATATTGTAAATCAACTATACTTCAATAAAAAAGATTTACATAAAGAGCTATAGATCAATGTTGCCCTCCATAGCACCTATGTTTACCTACTACTGTGAACTGTGAGTGGGTCCTCTCCATGGAATTACACTACTTCTACTATGGCAGGTGCTGCGTTTGAGAAGCATGACCTCACCATTACGAAGTTACTTGCATAAAAGCGAGCAGTCCTTAGACAATACTTAAGGAAACATTTGAAGTTC